TTTTCTGAGAATGATGGTTTCCAGGTTCATCCATGTCCCTACAAAGGACAGGAACTCATCGTTTTTGATGGCTGCATAATATTCCATGGTGTATATGTGCCACATTTTCCCTGTCTAGTCTATCATCGATGGGCATTTGAGTTGGTTCCAGGTCTTTGCTATTGTAAAGGAACTTAAGCGTGTGAAAAACGCCTCCATTCCACAGCATAGATCTTTAGTTTACCTTTTCCATGACCCGGGGCTCAAATGTGAGGCACCATCACAAGTATTGTTTCTAATTCATTAAATTGCCAAGGCAGAGGATGGTAGGGGAATCTTCTGAATAAAATCAGCAGTCATTCTGAATTGTTTACTCCATACATTTAATTGTTTTAAAAAATAAAAACCTTCTCTGAAACTTTCCTGTTGATGTTCCCGCTTCCTGAGTCGCCCCACTAGATTGGGTGCCACACTGTCATCCCTTGATTTTGTGCAGGGTCCTGGGTTGTTTTATTTTTATTTATTTAGCTATTTATTTTTGAGAAGAGTCTTGCTCTGTCACCCACGCTGGAGTGCAGTGGCACGGTCTCAGCTCACTGCACCTCCGCTTCCTGGGTTCCAGCAATTCCCCTGCCTCAGCCTCCCAGGTGACTGGGATTATAGGCACTGCCCCCACACCTGGCTAATTTTTGTATTTTTAGTAGACACAGGGTTACACCATGTTGGCCAGACTGGTCTCGAACTTCTGCCTCAAGTGATCCACCCGCCTCAGCCTCTCAAAGTGCTGGGATTGCAGGTGTGAGCCCCCACACCCAGCCGGATTGTGTTAATTTCATCTCTATGTCTGCTCCATGTTGGACCCGATAGAATCCTATCCCAGTCTAGTTTTAACAGTTCTTTCTCATCTCACCCATGTATGTTCTCTTTTTTTGGAAACATTGTTCTCCTACCCAAGGGGGAAGATGGGCAGCCAAGCTATGTGCCACTGGTCTCTGTATGGTGGCTGGCGTTTCTGTGGGACGGGGAGGACAGCAGGAAGGAAGAGAAACACTATAGATGGAAGTGTCGTCCCACTGGGCTCTGATATTGGCTTTGCAGCCAGTCTTCTATTTCTGATCTGTGCCATCCATCTGTAATGAAGCAGGATACCAACATGTCTTCCTAATGTTCTAGAATCCCAACTCTTGAAAACCTCTTTCTTTGCTGTTAAAATGTTGTGAAGTGTTAGTTTCTGGAAATGTTTTTTTCTAAGAAAAATGATTAAAGTACTTCCTAGAAAAAAAAAGAAAAGAAAAATTGTTCTTTGGTTCCACCGCAGGAGTTCAGTGACAAGGCTGAATTTCCCCATCTTTTGAATATTACTTCTTTTTTTTATGCATGATAACAGATTTCTACGGGAAGAGAGTAGAGGGAGGAAAAAAGACACTGTATCCTTGAAAAGTGCCCAATTTCTATGTGTTGAGTGGCATACATATGTTTTGTAACTTTATATGTATGAACCATCGTTTCTTTTAAGCAATTTGTAATTGTTTTACAAGTAGTTTTAACAAAGCCACAATCTGAAGTCGTATTATAATTTCAGAACAAAAATTACTATTTTTGCCATCTGTAGAACATAAAATTTTGCCTGTTTTTCAAAAATAATCTATTGTGGCTTCCATTTGCAGAAAGTTTCACTTTAGAAGGTGAATCTCTGGGTTATATTTAGCCAAAGAATGGGAGGGAAGTTGTTTTGTTGATGTTATTCCAGCATGAAAAGATATCAGTTAGCCCTTGGGTCTGTTAGAAGTCCATCTATTCATGGTTATCTATCCAATAGGATCCTGGCTTTTTATATCCAGTAATGAGCCAAAGAGGTAGCAGTTGCTCATAGACATACCTCAGTGTTTGCCATTGTGTGCACTGATGAGCTAGTCTGCAAGGCAGGCGGTACCCAGGGACTTTGACTCGTGTTATTCTGAGGCAGATAGAACAGTAATAAATATTGAGCAAAGAAAGCTAATTTGTAACACTTTCATATAGAAAATGTTTTCAAAATCAATATAAGCCAATTGTCTTTTGCCAGATTTCTTTTATTGCAATGATTAAAAATAACTCAGGTCCGGACTTCTTTCCTACTGAAGCTCTGTTTCCTGTTTGCCTGGATGAGACCTTAAAATGCCATTTAAAAATGCTTTTCAATTGATTTTAGCAAAGTCATGCTCAGAGATATGAGAAGATCAGCAGATAAGTCGAGAAATCTTCACATTCAGTCAATTCCTTCTGCTTACAGAGCTGAGACATAAGTTTAACTCATTTTTTTCTCTCTTTTTTTTTTGGTGGAAAAAGAAGTTTCTTGACAGCAACATTTTAGTTTACATATTGCTAATTGCAGAGCATATTTCCAATTAAAATAATGACGAAGACTATAAACTATATAGGAAGCCGATGTGGGCGGATCACCTTAGGACAGGAGTTTGAGACCATCCTGACCAACATGGAGAAACTCTGTCTCTACTAAAAAATACAGAATTAGCTGGGCATGGTGGTGCATGCCTGTAGTCCCGGCTGCTCGGGAGGCTGAGGCAGGAGAACGGCCTGAACCCAGGAGGCAGAGGCTGCAGTGAGCTGAGATCAGCCACTGTACAACAGCCTGGGCAACAAGAGCAAAACTCCGTCTCAAGAAAAAAAAAAAAGAAAAGAAAGTTAGATGCCATGCTGTTCTATTGTGAGTGCTTCAACATCCACTTTAAAGGTGCTTCCAGGCGAGTGTTTTGGACACAGGGCTGGTTCAGGAAGAAGACTGAGCCGCCGCTGCCCTCCGGTAACGTCTCTTCCAGCTTTCCAGGGAAATCATAATTCAGGAAAGGAATAGTTTAGGGCTCTGAACTGCAGTTTCTATTTTCAAATAGCTGCTTTTAGCCCCTTTTTTTCGCTAAAGTTAATATCTTTTTTAATTGGTAGAGAAGAGGTTTTTGAAACTCTCAAAGGTTTACTATTTCAAGGGCATTTGGAATGGCACGCATACCCGCTTGCTTACAGAGGAGTAAGGGTAAATTGCGGAGGAGTCAAGACTTTTGGAGGCTTGAGGTACTTCCAGTAGCTAAATGCAAAATGTGACACTAAGGACAAAACCAACACCACCCCCGCCTCATGTGTCCCCACCACCTCCTTTTTTAATTTATTTTTTTATTTTTGAGATGGAGTTTCACTCTTGTTGCCCAGGCTGGAGTGCAGTGGCGCAATCTCAGTTCATGGCAACCTCCGTCTCCCGGGTTCAAGCGATTCTCTGCCTCAGTCTCCCAAGTTGCTGGGACTATAGGCGCATGCCACCACGCTCCGCTAATGTTTGTATTTTTAGTTAGAGATAGGATTTTACCATGTTGCCCAGACTGGTCTTGACCTCCTGACCTCAAATGATTTGCCCGACTCAACCTTCCAAAGTGCTGGGATTAGAGGGCTGAGCCACGTGCCCTGCCGCCTCCCACCTTCTGCCTGGGTGCTGCCTCTGCCAAACCTTCCCAGGCTTGGGGAGGGCCAGTCTCCTTCCTGTTGATGGTCTCGCCTTGGGCACGGCTGCTTCACCTTTAGCTTGTGTCCCAAAATATAAACCTGACGTGGGGACAATGTCCAAAGTGGACCAGCGTACCTCAGGCAGTGCCGTGGGCTCCCTGGCACCCAAAAGACCACACTGTACGCCTACACTGAGAAAGGACAGGGGTGTGACTTGTGTGACCTCCAGGGACCTAGCCACTTCATTTCATGCATTGATCAGGCTTAGGTCACATGACACTTTTGGATTCTTTCACCAAAATGACTGCCTATTTCAGTTCCTTGAGAGAAACCACCCCTGGCACTGACTTGCCCCGTCAGCCGTTCTGAAGAGGGTCTCACTCCTGGCATCTAAACGTCATCTTAAAAATATTTCTGCCACTGCTTCAACATGAACTGGAGAAATGGATTCCGTTTCTCTCTGGCAGTTTTGTGACATTCTGCAGAAAACACGACAAGGAATAGTAAGTTGATATCTTGATACAAATGTGCAAATCAGTCGTGCAAGCCCCGCCTCTTCCTCGGTGCCAGGGAGGCCTGTGAGGAGGCTCTGACCGGGTCTTCCCACCCGGCTGTCCTGGCTTGTCTGGAAGGATCCGCCTCCTGGGGCCTCTTTGCTTTCCCAACATCTTGGCCGTTCCTCCTTCTGCTCCTGCCTCTTTCTTCTTTTTTCTGGGGGTAGTGGGAGTATTCTTCCCCTCAGGGCTGCGTAACCCAGACCATGCTTCCCCACACTCCCACCTCCCCGCGGCAGGACCTGCACCCTCGGCCGGCGACGCTCCCTGGCTGAGCTTCAGTCGTCTCTCCACTAACCTAGCAACTGAAAAATTGCAAAACTACATTAGCCTCACTTAGGAGACTTTTTGTATGTGTGTGCTTCTTACCTTATCGATGCTGTATTTTTAATGGCAAAACCTATTAACAGCAGATGTAACGCTTTGCTCTTAATGAGTAATGAGTCAGAGCAGCTGTGTAGATGGCTCTCTGTTTTCCAGGAGGGTTTTTTTGTTGTTGTTAATGACCTTCATTTTATTTCTGAAAAGCACTTGTGGACTATCTAATGTACTTTTCTTTTCTTTCTCCCCTCCTTTCAAAAGCCGCATGCTAAGGGTAAGATCTACGTCCAGAGTCAAGGTAAGAATTTTAAAATCTTTACTTACATACAGGGATAGAGAATGAATATATAAAAATATGTTTATATGTGATAAATATATGTTTATATGTGACAAATATATATATTTAAAAGAATAAGTTTGCATTCTTTAGCAACGCATATTGAGATGTTTAGGGAGGAGATAATATGATTTTTGAGATTTACTTAATCAGCAAAATGTTGATTTTTCTTTTTTTGCTACAAGGTCTGGCTCTGACACCCACGCTGGAGTGCAGTGGTGCAGTCTAGGCTTTGCAACCTCTGCCTCCTGGGTTCAAGTGATTCTCCAGCCTCAGCCTCCCCAGCAGCTGGGACCACAGGCATGGGCCACCATGCTCAGCCTATTTTTTTTGTATTTCTTTTAGAAATGGGGTTTCGCCACGTTGCCCAGGTTGGTCTTGAACTTCTAGGCTCAAGCAATCTGCCTGTGGATGGCTACATTATTATGATTTTCTCACATTCAAATAAAAGATAAATAGGAGAAATGATAAAATGACAATGTAAAATGCAGATCACTTAACATTTTCCGCCCGTGGAAATATGATATACCCCATTAGCAGTGCGTTTGGAAAGAACAAACCGAACGAATGCAGGGCTTCTCTGTTTCAGTCGAATTGAGTTAGGGGACCTGGAGCTCTTCCCCTTCACCTTCCCCCTTCCTCCCCGCCCAGTCCTGCCCCTTCGGTGGCATCTGAGGCCCTTCATCAAACCTTCTGAGGTTTAAACACAGTTTTTTTTTTGTTGTTTTTTTGTTTTTTTTGTATATTTCAATCTCATTCTGCCACCCATGCTGGAGTGCCATGGTGCGATCTTGGTTTACTGCAACCTCTGCCTCCTGGGTTCAAGCAATTTTCCTGCCTCAGCCTTCCGCGTAGCTGGTATTGCAGGTGTCCCCTGCCACGCCCAGCTAATTTTTATATTTTGAGTAGAGACAGGGTTTCACCATGTTGGCTGATCTCAAACTCCTGACCTCAGGTCATCCGCTCTCCTCAGCCTCCCAAAGTGCTGGGATTCCAGATGTGTGCCACCACGCCCGGCCTGTCTAAACAATTTGTAAACCACGGTACTACACGATAGAAATAATGGAAAGCCTGTCTCCAAGGAAGAACAAGTAACTCGCCCCAAGCTCAGGCTGGAAGGAGTGCAGACGCCGAGGCCAGGCGTTCGCTCCTCCCAAGGACTCCATGGTGCTCAGGTGTACCTGAGTGAGGCATGCCACCCTGTCCTCACCGTGTCCTTGCTGCACTGGCTTCAGTGACATTTTAGCTGGTGCAGCAGGAAAAATCCTGGCTCTGAGGCGGTGTGTAGTTTGAACACAGCGTCTGCCACCTCCACACTGTGCATTTTGAAGCCCGTTTAACCTGTTTGAACCTCAGTTTCCAGCTGGATAAACTGGAGGAACCAGGCTGCTCAGTGGGCCTTTGAGGCTTACAGTGGAGTGTGGACAGGGCCTGCACAGTTAGGGCTAGGGCTGGCTAGGAGGGGCACTCCTTAAATAGACTCTGTCAGTATCATTCAGTGCGAATAATGATTATGCAGGCCGTTAGATGACTTGATTTACTTACATTTTATAAAATTTCAAAGTCTTTCTGTTACCAAAATAACCTGTTAGATGTTGCCTCTGGATTTTCTCAATTGCAAAATACTCATTTTTTTCAGCAAAAAATTAAATGTAGCTTCTCTCTCTGAGGAAGTAATACACAGCAGACCATCAGGCATGAGTTGGTGAGGGTTGAGAGCGGACTTTTGAAGGGAGGTATAATTTTTACATGGGGCTCTTCAGTTGACAGTGTTTTTGAAACCTGTTACTTCCTGGCACTTTTAAGGAACTCCTGGTTTGTCTAACCCAGTTTGGGCCTGTCATGGATCCTGGGCTGAAAGGGGTGGGTCTTTTCTCCTGCGGAATCCGTGGGCTCTCTTTAACCCTCTGTGCTGGGAGATTCATGGGACTTCAGTGGTGCACTCAGAGCATGGAGTAGCTTTATAAAAGCCAGGTGCTTCCATTAATTAAACTTCAACACAAGTGGGCCATGCATGGTGGCTTACACCTGTAATCCCAGCACTTTGGGAGGCTGAGGTGGGTCTATCACTTGAGGTCAGGAGTTCGAGACCAGCCTGGCCAACATGGCCAAACCCTGTCTCTACTAAAAATACAAAATTTGGCCAGGTGTGGTGGCAGGCACCTATAATCTCTATTTGGGAGGCTGAGCCAGGAGAATCATTTCAACCTGGGAGGAGGAGTTTGCAGTGAGCCAAGAGCATGCCACTGTGCTCCAGCCTGGGCAACAGAGCAAGACTCTGTCTCAGAAATAAGAATAATAATAAGCCCCAACACAAAATCATTGGTTGTATTTCAGCAGTTGCATCAAAGTGAACTTTCCCTTTCATTGTTTCTTTGACCCAGGAATTGCAACAACACCAAATGCCGCCTTTAACTGGAATACCTTTCTTCAACGTTCAGGTAAGATATGAAATCTTAGAGGATTTCGATGAAGCACTTCTTGGCAGTTAGTTTCAGGAGCACCTTACGTTCGTGTGGTTTTGAAAAAGTGGCTGTCGGGGAGAACAAGGTGAATTTTCCTCTGTCTACAGCTTCATGAGTGGTTTTATCTTTTTGAGGAAAAGCAGGGCTAGAAGGCCAAGGAGGGGCTCTGGGCCTTTCCGATGCTGTTCTTAGCACCTCCTTCCCAAATTTTCAGTATCATTTCCTGTGACATTTGTTCTTTATAACAACCTCATGTGTTCATTTTATTTTACTTTATTAATTACACATATAATTAAATTACCATTGTAGAAAAATGAGAAAATACCAGAAAATGCAACACAATTTTTTTCTTTTTGAGATGGAGTCTCGCTCTTTTGCTCAGGCTGGAGGGCATTGGTGTGATCTAGCTCACCGCAGCCTCTGCCTCCCGGGTTCAGGCGATTCTCTTGCCTCAGCCTCCCAAGTAGCTGGGACTGCAGGCATATGCCACCATGCCCGGCCCAAAAATGCAACAAAAATTTAAATCATTTGAAATTTCAGCACCAAAAAGGAACTGCTATTAATGTTTGATACAATCTTACTCAATAATTGTACATGTAAATAATGATTTTTAAAAGACAAAAATGAAATCAAGCTTCACTTACCACTCTAACCTGCCTTCTTTGCTCATTTTGTCAGTAGAATAGAGTGAACTCGTCCTTTTTAAAAAAAGAAATTCTGAAGTTTGTATGTAGTGAAATGCAGAGTTCTCAAGTATAAAATTAGGTAAATGTTTGACAAATGTATATACCCATGTGACAAATACCCTAATCAAGATAACATTTCCACCACTCAAGAAAGTTTTCTCAGGCCCTCTTCCATATTTAATTCCTGTCTATTTATAGGTGACTCCTAGTTTAGTTTTTCTTATCTTACATTAGTTTCATCTGTTCTTGAACTTCACCAAAGTGGAGTATTCTATTCCATAGATCACAAATTATTTATCTCTTCTATTGATGAACTTTTGGCTTGTTTTCCTTTTTTTTTTTTTTTTTTTTTTTTTTTTTTT